GCAAGCCTGGATAGCCCTGTCTGTAATGTGGTCTGCCTGCAGAGGTGGCTTACACATCCGAGTACTTTCATTGCAAGCCTGGATAGCCCTGTCTGTAATGTGGTCTGCCTGCAGAGGTGGCTTACACATCCGAGTACTTTCATTGCAAGCCTGGATAGCCCTGTCTGTAATGTGGTCTGCCTGCAGAGGTGGCTTACACATCCGAGTACTTTCACTGCAAGCCTGGATAGCCCTGTGTGTAATGCAGTCTGCCCACAGGGGTTGCTTACACATCCGAGTGCTTTCACTGCAAGCCTGGAACTTACAGCGGGGAGGCAGGAGCCGCCAGGTGTGCCCCCTGCCCAGCCAACACGTACTCCAACAAGGGTGCCACTTCCTGCCAGTCCTGCGCAGAGGACTTCTATTCTGGTGACCGCCTTTTCCCAGATTTTTTCCAGTATTAATTGGTTGATCGATTATTGGTTCTTTTTAAAAGCAATTTATATAAATGCTCTTGGTGGTAGAAACTGCGTATTTATTAATAATTGTATTACATTTTAAAATCAGCAGTGTGGAGGGGACCTATGGCTGTCCTCCTGTTCATTGATGGCCCTGTCTCTTGCTGGAAACCTTATCCTACCTTCACTAGCCCTCTGCCTGTCATTTTCTGATAACCCTTTGTTACTCCGTCCACTCTCTGTACCCCCCTTTGCCCCCCCTTTGCCCCTGTCTCCAGGCATTGGGTCAGGAAGCTGTGAGCCCCGGCCTGTGTGTAAGGAGAGTGACTACTTCTACACCCACATGCCCTGTGACTCCAGCGGCAAGGTACCCAAGTAGTGGCATCCTTCTACATTATTATCATTATCATTATCTTCGTTTCATATATCTTCTAAGCACTTATCCAGTACATGGTAGCAGAAAGTGGGGATCTGGAACCCATAACAGGCAGCAAGGCAGGGAAACACCAGGCATACACATGGATTTACTCATTATTATTATTCATGACGATAACTGGAATATGAATCTATAGTGGATAAATGGTGGGAAGGTAGTTGGATGTTTGGATGGATATTTTGGTGACTCAGGTCTGAAATTTGATTATAGGGTTAGTGTTTCTCTCATGCTGTCCTGTGGATTATGCTTAATATATATATGCCTTATTTATTTAGCTGGTGTATGTGAGTCACTTGTGAAATTCAGGGCAGCATACAATCTGATATACTCACAGGTACAGCAGCTACAGTAGTGCACTTTGAACAGCAGGCATTGGATGGTATATGAATATACCATATACCAATATATATGTAACTACTTTATTTTCTTCTTTGCTTTTCTGTATGTGAAATAATGTATGGGAACTTTTTATGGTATGAGTGTATATTTAATGTGTGTTTAACCCCAAACTGGACCCTTGTGGACCCTGGTAACCCCCCCCCCCACCCCAAACTCACACAACACCCCCCAGACCCAGCTGATGTTTAAGTGGATCGAGCCAAAGATCTGCAGCGAGAACAGCCCTGACGCAGCACGGCTGCCGGCCTCGGGGGCGATGGAGCCGTGCCGCCCCTGTAACCCTGGCTACTTCCCCGTAAACGGCTCCGGCTGTGAAGCCTGCCCCCCCGGCTCCTACTCCAACGGCTCAGGTGGGGGCAGCCAAAGGGCCGGCGGCTTGGCGGCTGGGCGGTCCACAGAGCAACAAGCACAATCCAGCAGACTAGGGCAGAATGACAGGCGTTTCACTCCTTACTTCTCAACAGCATGTGAGCAGTGCCCAGCTGGGACAGAACCGATACTTGGGTTCGAGTACAAGTGGTGGAACACGATGCCCGGCAACATGAAGACGTCCGTGTACAGCCGGGAGTACAGTGACTCGGACAGAACCACAGGTGTGTCTGCCTCAGCACCGTGCTACAGCTGTTGTGGAACTACATTGGGGCCCTCTAGTGGTGAGATGACAGGACGCAGCGCATAGACAGGACGCAGCGCATAGACAGGACGCAGTGCACATAGGTAAACATAGTGCAGAGAGTACACAGTACTCATACAGAATACCCTGAAATCTGAATTACTAGTAAATGAATAAATAAAAATAAATTACTGGATGGCAAAGGCAGCCAAATACTTTTCTTCATAAACTGAACCTGAAATATAAGAAGTTTTTAACAAATGATGTCCTAACTGGAGGGGACTGAGAGCTCAGTGATATTTGCAGCTGTTTCCACTGGCCACTGCATGGTCTTGTGGTCAGGGACGGTGCAGTTCCCATAGCAGACAGTGCCATTGCTGGTCAGGACACTCTGTGTGGTCCCCCTGTTGGATGTGGTGTAGATGGGGGCACCCCCTCCTGGTCTTTGCAGGAAATGGAGGCAGGGCTGGTCTCTCTTGGTGATAGAGGTGGTGTTAAGGAGCAGCTGCTGTGATGTGCACCTCAGGATACCTGACGCATCTCCACAGAGTAGCTGATGGTGGAGAGTGATCATCGCGGCGGTTCCTGATGTCAGCATTCACCCCTTTTTAAATCTACGTTCACTGACAGACTGTCACTTTTGTCCAGTCTGCTGGCTGCTCCACTTTTGCTCTGATTCTGAATGGTGGTCTGTCTGGCCTTTTCCGGGTCCTGACTGCTGGTGCTGTTGGCAGCGTGGGAGGTGGCTGGGGAGTACATCTACACCACCCCTGGGGACGTGGACTCGGACTATGTGGTGCTGATGCTGACGGTGCCAGGGTACAGGTACGGGACAGAGCGGCCCACTGTCCAGTCTGCGCTCGGCAAGCTTTTCCACACCAAGAGAGTGTCTTGTCTTACACCTCACTAACGTGAGGTTTCTGCTTTGGCCCGTGCAGACCAGCACAGCTCACGGGCCGGGAGACACACAACAGTGAACTGTCCCGGATCTCCTTTGTCTTTGAGACCAAGTGCACAGCTGACTGCATGCTGTTCTTCAGCGCGGTGAGGAATTCTCCCATCTCGCCTTTCTTCTTCCTGGAGACAGAGAGAAACTGTAGGAATTTCTGAGACATTTACCACCAAGCTTGGCATGAGCAAGAAATCAAGTAAATTAATTTGTATAGCACCTTTAAAAACAACAGGAGATGAGTTTAAAATAATAGGATGATTGATTAATTTATTATTTCAGTTGACTCTTGTAGTTAAATCAAGTTTCTCAGATTTTAAGTTTCATACACCCAAGCGCTAATTTTTGACTTGAACTCTTCACTGGCTGTGTGCCATTTGTTTGAATTTGCATTATAATCCTTCTGTCAGTTGGTTATGTTGTTCTCCTTATTACTTTTTAATCTTAGTCATTTATCTTTTTTTTAAAAAATGCTTATAGTTTTTGCTTTTTACCCTCCCTATTTAATTGTTTAAATGTTTGTCTTGTTGAGTTTATTGTGCAGCACTTTGGTTGACACCTGCTGTATTTTCTATATCAATAACAACGACTCGACTAGATCACCCATTAATTGGATGCAAAGTTTTAATTTCCATATTGTGACTGGCTGAAGATGGCCTCTATTTTGGGAGGGAGCCTGCAGTGACCCATCTCTGAACCGCTCTGCCCGCGTCTCTGGCCAGGGCCCCAGTGAGTGGAGCAGCCAAACTGTGGAGCACTGGGAGGGCAGTCGGGACCAGCAGTCCTACTCCTACATTGTCAGGAGCAACGACACCACCTGCTTCACCTGGGCCTTCCAGCGGACCAGGGCTTACGGCACGGTAACTTCAGTTCAGTACACGGTCAGCGACCCCCAAGCTGTTTCAGTCCACTGAGGCCCCCCACCGTTTCTCACAATGGTGTGGTTATGAACCGCGGGTGGCGGGGGTTGTAGCGGTATATCGCCCGGGGGTGTTAGCTGGGAGCCCTTTTCAGCGGAGGCTCTGCAGTAAGCCCATGCAGTGGGGTGCACGTAGAGATGGTCTGTAAAGACTCAGTAAGACTCAGTTAATTGTGCTTCGTGTCAGTGGAAATTTCACCAAAATCATGTTTATATGTGAACAAAATTGGAGGTGGGGCCACACGGCAAATGGGGAGGGGGTCCAGCGAAGAATGGAGTGCAGGGACATATAGCTAAGCTCTGTGTAACTGCCCTGCCTTGTTCATCCCCCAGCAGAAACAGTACCTCGCCGACTTAGCCAAACTCTACTACGTCAAGGTCAGCAATGTAATTGGGGGTGTGGCATCTGGGTGCCGGCGCTGCCTATTGGACACGTCCACGGGGGGCGTGTCTCCGGTGGGCGGAGAGTGTGTGCCCTGCCCAGCTGGTCACTACATGCCGAACGACTCCAGCATCTGTCGGAGTTGCCCTGACAGAACCATAGTCTGGGTGGAGCAGCCTGTGGGGGAGGAGGCCTGTCAGCCCTGTGGCCCCAACACTCAGAGCAACGAGGTGAGGGTACTCTCCTGCCTGGTCCTCTAGCGTCTTTAGCCAAGGAGCCAGTCAGCCACTTCTGTGCACTTCTGTTTTTTCTTATAGTCATGCAATCATTTTACTATCAAACAGTAAATTGTACTGTATATCTGATTGTATACTACATGTTAGTCATGTGTGTTTTAGCATCGTATGCCATGTGCTTACTGGCTTAGGTTCCAAGCTTACAGGACTTTAAGCTGGATAAGCAGCTACATACAGTCAGATGGATGTATATTTTGTGTATTTGCAACGCATTAACAGTTGAATTCCAGCACTTTTGATAGATAGTGTTCACTGGATCTAGCTAGTCATCCCAACATGTGCTGCTTGTGACTAGAATTCACTAAACAGTAGCTGATTACATCCAGTGAGTAAATGCTGTGAATACAAGCTGTAATACATCATGAACATTTTCTGCTGCTATGCTGCTGACATTCTGCATGTGGTTAATCATACATGGAATGTACACTGTCCCTCCATCTGCTACGCTGCCGACACACTGCATGTAGGTTAATCCTACACAGAATGTACACCGTCTCTCCATCTGCTACGCTGCCAACACACTGCATGCAGGTTAATCCTACACAGAATGTACACCGTCT